CAGGGTTGTCCAGACGTTGGTACGGTATTTCAAATCTACTCTTTCAGCCACTCCAAAGCGCGGAGATGTACGGTCCGTGAGAAGGGCTAGATCAGGTACAATCGCAGCCGTACCGATTACGTGGACAGTCAGTTACCAATCTCAGGAAATGTTAGCTGAAATTCTTATATAGGTTTTCAACTAGGGAATAATACTTATGTAACGCTTTAGTATCCATAATCTTTCCAGACATTTCAGGGAAGCCAGGATGCCGGTTTTTATAGGCACTTTTTTGGCTGCCTGGAACCACCTTAAAAAAAATAACGACTTGAGTAATATTCATTTTTAAAGTTCATTTTCCTTGCTCTTATAAATCCAACTATATTTTATAGAAAACGTGTAGGAAAATATTCTTTCTTGTAGTAAGCTAATAGAAAGTCATGTCTTATAATTTAAAACCTGAGGAAATCCTGTCTTTTGGTTTTCAAGCAGTTTCTAAGTGTGCGGTTGCTTAAGGTCGTACACCGTTCATTCTAATGGCTTCGTATCTCACGAATTGAGGCAAGTGTTCGCATCCCAGGTGTAGGTATAGGTGAACAATAAGAAGGCACGTCGATCACAAGAATCATGGTTGCTTATTTTTTTGTTGACGCTCTTATCTCCGACGATGGACTTCAGTGGGTGTCTGAAAGCTCAGACGAATAAAACCATGATTCCGGTGATAGACGTGCCTTCTTGTTTACCTAGGCATCGCATCTGTCCGTTAACAAGTGCTCCTCGTGAAGTATACATCATAGTCCCCATCCATTGCAAAATGTTCTGAAGATTAAAGTGTCTTCTTAATGGCATAAGTAAATGTATGCTTTTCCTTACACCGAAAGCTTATAGCTTGTAGGCTGAAAACCTTAAAGTCAGATGCCACGGCAAATCGCACTCAGCATTGTTCGGGAATTGGAATCATTTTTTTTCATTGTCATTAATAGTCACTTAATCCTTGCTAAACTCTTCGACTACATGACTGTCTTTGTCAGAACAAAAATATACAACAAGTCTTTCGCATAATCTCTTGCTTCCTTTTTGTTTTATTCAGTAATTTTAGCGAATTCTTTACGTTTGAAAAAAATAAATTATTTGCATTATTTTCGTTCGGTCGATTCATGCCAAATCTCAAAGTAGTTCCGATGCTCACCATCTATCAGTGGCTCCAACCGTCTCAAAACTGTCATTCAAGTCCATAAATTGGTTAGCTCATTGACGTGCCATTCACCTGCTCCTTGGATTGCCCTATCAAGCGTTAAGTACACTTTGAGATAAAAACTCGGAGGATGACGGATTTCGGTGTGTCCCGCACGATTTTCCATTTCATCCCCCGTGTTCTACAAGGGTACTCAGATATTCTCGACTGCCGGATCCTCGGAGGCCGAAATAAAGAGGGGCTTGATGTCAAAGTATGCTATCGCCTCCCATGGTAAAGGATTTATTCCTTCAAGCTTCTTCAGAAAATTTGTTGGAAAACTGACTGTAGGGCCGAAAGCAGCTATGAAAGGTGTGAGACATCGAAGTAACTAATTTGCCAGTCTCTAAACTGAAGTGTCCTTTATCCTCCGGATTAGACGCCACCTTTGCGTGCATCGAATCAAGACAAGAACGCTTTTTAGCTCCTTGCTAGGCGCCGACCACACGGTCAGACTAGTGGATGATGTTTTTTGTAGAGCGGCTGACTGGCTGACTGGGATTCAAGCTTCAATTGCTCCTTACTGGGATCCTAGTCCTCCCCCCAACTTTTCTGTAGTTTCCTTTGTTGTTTTGACCCACTGTGTGTGCCTGTGCCCTCCCATCTCCAATCTTCTTGACGCTATCCGGAAGCTAGGTCCATGTGGCCCAGTGGAACAGAGATTGAGATAACTGCAGGACGAGTATTATTTGACTTTAATTCAGTACAAGTCGCCGTCCCTGTACCATCTCGTCAAAACCGACGGCCCAACTGTCAGACGTCGACCACTTGACATAATTGCATTGGCGTTCCGTGTCACCGATATCAGTACTTAAATTCAACATGAAGCCTTTTTACGGGGCTGGATTCATACGCACTATGAAACTGATGATCCACCAATGATAGCTTTGCTCCCCGAACTAATTCTATCTTGTCCATTATAACAGTAATAAGCCCTTTGTCCAAGAACACAACAGCGAGAGGTTTGCCATTCTTAGGATTTCGTAAGGCATGCCATGCCACCCCAGGGAGTGCTTCCGTTGGTTTCTAGACCATGAAACGTGACGAGAGTTAGTGTCTCGTTAGCGCCTCTGTATGGCAGCTGACCGGCTCCACTGTTGGGATTCTATTGACAGCTTTCGTATACGTTCTACTGAATAATATTTTATGGCATTGCACGCCTAGTTCCCCTGATATTTCCTTAGTCTACAGCTCGTGCCAATTTCTCACTTCTGGAGGACATTTGACCCGGCAGCTTGTGACACGTGTTCATATAGGACGTTTGACCAGGCAGCCTGCGAAACGTGTTCACGTGTTATCATCGGCCAACTTAAAGCACCCAGTCATATTTTGGTTAATCCACTATCAGTACATGTGTAGTTTCGAGCGCAGATACGCTCGGTTCATTCTTCTGGCTAACTGGAATGCTGATAGTTGTCATGCAACCTCTTGTCCGCTTTCATCCATCTGCCAACCCATGTCTCGTCTGTCCTACCGCATTATATCTGCGTTATATTCTTTTAAAAATCGAGCGTGTCGCTATGGTTGCCTTGTCTCAACTTATTCATCTTCTTGTTATCATCTCATCAGGCTTTTCTATTCTCGGTTACTTGAGTCTACTTGCTTTTGGACACTCTTAAAACTCAGTTCTTATGTGTGATAGGATTCTCTTAGTAGATCTGAATTCAACTTTTTGCCTAAACCCTACCTGTTTTGTGGTCTCCAGTGTTTAGTTGATTTCTGCTTCTTTAAGTTGCGAAATGGCAAGTATTCGTGTTCTCCAGACTGTGTTGATTGCACGCCACACCATCTGTATGCTGCTGACTAGGTAGCTTTGATAGGTTTTGTAGCTAGTCAAGCGGCTAGTCATGTTCGAAACCTTAAGCCTCGCTTCTTAGTGAGAGCGTCTAGCGGCCACGTCTTAAGTGGTCCAATCTTCTATTGCCGGGTCGCATACCACCGGCCGTAAGGCCGACTTGGCTGCAATTTTGTGCTGACCAAGATAAAAGTGGATATGATAAAACCCCAGACGTAGACTGCCTCTAGACAGAGATTGGTGGAGGCCTAGCTTTGTGGGACTGTGTACGGCTCACTTTTTGAACGGTAAACTGGGCATATACGCCGTTTTTACTCGTGTCGCTGGTGGCGCACATGCGGAATGTTATTTTCTCAGCCCTGAGCTCCATCGTGTTCAGTTATTCGTCTCGATAACTGTCCACACCTTTTTGCAGTGAGCCACAATGTCATCGCGCGGCCCTCGAACTCTGGACACTTTAGAGGGTAGTTAGTTTAACGAACTTTGACCCATCATGTTCCCGCCACACACCGTCACACTGCGTAGTAGTGTGCTTTTCCACAATTGTCTGAACTTTTACACCAAAAAACCCTACTTCGGTTTTATCTCATACTCACACCAACACTAGTGTCTTCTCTCATCCCTTTTTCGTTATTTTTCTAGCGTAAAAATCCTCAGGATATCTTCTTCTCCCTATTTTGGGGGCTCTATCTGGCGCTTTGTTTCCTACTCGCACGCCTTCCAAACAACGCTGTTATCTACTGGATGATGTCTGATTCCTCGATCAATTCCGACAAGTCATCATGTAAACCATTAAACACCAGGAGCAGTCTGGCCAGTCGTGTCTCCGCGTCCATTCGCAGCCTCTTTGTTTTCAAACCAGAAGAACGACAGCAATCCATGCAGCGGCGGCAATCCCATCACCAAAGACATCACCGGTCAGCAGGGGAAATAGACTCCTTCCTCAGCAGTGTCAACAACTTGGATTTGTCCCGAAAGAGCGTTGATCTGCTTCACTGCGATGATGGTGGGGGCAGAGGATCGAAGGATAATGAGTTTGCTGCCGGCTCATTGACCGCAGTGGGGTTGGCCCTTCGGCGTTCACAGCCGTCGGTTACCTTGGATAATGGACGTTCAGTACGCCGTTCGTGTGAACAATTTTCACGCCCATCCGTGTCGCAGCGACCCTTACCGACTCCAGAGGAAGCTTTCCTCATTTCGCCCTCCGGGGAGTCCACCGCCTG